ACGTAAGGTCGTAAATTAGTCTTGTTTTACTTCTAGTTATTTGTAATCCGTATTTTTTTTTCGTAATTTACTCAGCCCTTCGTGTAATAGGATAAATAGGTTAAAGAAGTCAGTTGAAGTTGATGACAATGAGTCTTCAGTGAATCAAAACAAAGAAAAGTCTGGTCAATCAAAACGAAGAAAAGTGGTGAGAAAGTATGATTCCAAGTACTTAGAAATGGGATTTAATTGGAATGGAGATGAAGAAGATCCACGACTACGATGTATTATTTGTTGTGATCAACTTGCAAACGAGAGCATGCGCCCAAACAAATTGCGTTGCCATATTGAGACGAAGCATCCCGAGTTGAAAGACAAACCCCTCGAATTTTTTGAAAAGATGCTAAGCAAGTTGAAGACAGGACAGAGCGTTATGCAACGTTACACCAAAGTTAATGAAAAAATCTTTGTACGTGTCTTACCTGATCAATTTGAGAATCGCGAAAGCTGGTAAGCCACATACAATTGGAGAGACTTTAGTTCTTCCAGCTATAAAAGATACAGTTAAAGTTTTCTTTGGTGATAAGAGTGAACAAGAAATTGAAACAATTCCTATTTCTAATAACATGGTCACGCGTAGGATCGATGAAATGTCTCGATGGATAGAACATCAGCTAATTCAAAGAGTTTGTGAAAGTACAATTTTCTCCTAACGACTAGATGAATCTACTGACGTACAAGGTCTGTGCCAGCTACTTGTTTTTGTGCGTTATATATAGAACTCCGGACCTCATGAAGATATGTTGTGATGTGAACCAGTCAGTCGAAGTACTAGCGATGATATTTTTAAGACTATTAATACTTATGTCAAAACAAAAGGTCTTGATTGGAATAAATGTGTCGGAATATGTACGGACGGCGCACGGGCTATGTGTGACAAAAACAGTGGTCTGGTGACCAGAATACTTGAACTTAATCCAAACGCATCATGGACTGACTCACTGCAACCTTCACAGAGCAGCGTTAGTATCAAAATGTATATCTGATGATTTTAAAAATGTTTTGAACACTTCCATTAAAATAGTGAACTTAATAAAGTCAAAGCCATTGCAATCGCGCTTATTTGAGAAGTTGTGCGAAGAAATGGGAAGCAATCATAAATCACTTCTTCTGCCCACAGAAGTACGTTGGCTCTCGAGGGGTAAAGTGCTAACAAGACTTACAGAACTCCGCGAAGAAGTTGTTATATTTCTGGAAGTGAGCCTCAGAACAAATTCCTCGTTGCGCAAATATCTCGCAAAATCGCTTTTACCGTATTTGGCAGTTAGTTTTGAAAAAATATACGAACTGAATTTGTACTTGCAAGGAGCAAAAAGGTATCAGTATATTTGCAGTTCATGAGAAAATTCGAGG